ACTATATAAAAAAGTAAAAAAAAAAAAAATAGGACGATCATTTTCTCTTACTTGTGTTCGAAGTATAGTCATCATTGTGTGTGATCTGAAACAAAGTTCGGAAAAATAGCTATCTAAAGTGTCATCGCGTATTGTACAAATCAATATCATAGTGCTAGAAATAAAGTAGGTAGCAATATCCTCACAGAGGTTTTATATATAGTTCTATTTTCTAAAATTGACCAACACTATAAATAGCAGTGTTTTCCGTACACGTATATATATATATCAATTTAATCAAATTATGAAAATGAAATATCTATAAATAATTTTTAATTATATCTAAAGGTTTATCTCATTATCGGAAAGCTTTTTATTACATTTTGTTTATTACACTTTACTTAAGTAATCAAAAAGCGGTTTCTTTCATCTTTATGATCTAACAGTATATATACTTTTTCTTTATTTTACTACAAACTTATTAGTCACAAATCTATTTCTGAAATTCTAAGAAATATAAAACAATAAAATTCTCTCTTGAAATTTCCTTTGAAACTTTAAACGTTTGTTTCTTTGTGTAAACATTACTCTTATTTATGACATTGTCTAGTCTAATTTAGTATTCATAGATTAAACTTTATATTTTTTCTATAAATGTGATTCCACTTTTCGAAAATACTAACTGCTGTAAAATTTAAATCTGGAATAATTGAGTTTATTTTTTCTAACTTTTTTAATGATCCTTTCATGTTTTAAGCTTTCAATAATATTATAATTACAATTATCAAAGAATTCGAATACATTCATATATTTCTAAATAAAAAATTACCTTGTTTCCACTTTTTCTTAAAGAAAAGTAAATTAACTTTCCCATTTCTGATTATACTATACTCTTAGGTTACCTATACCTCAATGGGAAAACAGCGATCTCCAGAAAAAAGTTGAGATATTTCCCGCCAAAATTTTATTGGAGGAAAATTACAAAACTAATCTGTATTCTGATTTGCAATTTCAGCAATGTCCTTGGAGGAATCGCGGCGTTCGCAGCGTCCGTACAGGTACGGGATGGTTCTCCTTTGCGTTGGTGCACTGATAAACTGGTTAGGCCTCGCGGAGAACTACGTCGAACCGGTACGATATGTCGGTGTTGCTTGCATAATAGCAGGCGCTCTTCTCATATGTGCCGCAATGTGTTGTTGGCTGCACGCACCGCCAAGTAGGGCAGCCATGCACACACAACACACAAATCATCCAATCACAGCACAAGTAAGTCTTCATATTTTTTTTTTTTTTAAGCCACGATAACCGTTTTATTCTTTTGACTGATTAGCCAAATCTAGTCAAGAGAAATGTATTCCGGCTTAAAAGTCTCGTAATTTATAAAATCTTTATTTATTAATAACACATTAGGATATTGTAAATTTGCAATTTATGCGAATTTTGTTATAATAAAATTAAAATTAACATAAAAATAATATTTAAATTTGTTGAAACTTTTGAGCGAAGATATAGATCCTTGTCGTAAGGAAACATTAAAAACTGAACAACACTACAGAATAATTTATTGAATTATCATTAATTATAAATTGATCGAAAATAGATTCCATTTCATGGTTGGATAAAGTATTATTCTCTTTTCTTTTTTTTTTTTTTAATTCTAAATTTTAAATTTTAGTAATATAGTAATTTTTAGACTACTTTTAGATTTTTCTTTTATAATTTGATTTCAAAATTTATCGTATAATGATTGTGCACTAGATGATTAGAGAAGTAATGAATATAGAGTAGGTATATCCTCATCTCTTTTTATCCTTTATCAACATAGGAAGTTTTCTACAAGATATTAGGTAATTTATTCAGACTTCATTTGTTTTATAATTTAATTTTTCTTTTTTGAGTAATGAAATTTATTTTATGTTGCAACATTGTTGCATTGTAAAATATCATCAATAATATTAATACAATTGCGCGAAAGATAATTATTTATCTGATTTTATTAAATAATTGAAATCATTAATTCGGATAAGACACATCATAATAATTAATTATAATTACAATCGTATGATTTTATTCGATTAATTGAATAAATGAAACTTAATTCCGTGTAAATAACTATCTTCCAAGAAAATTTGAAATCAATAATTAAATATATGCTTCTTCTTTTACGTTACACGTCTTTATATTTCAAGCAACTTAAGAACTAGTCACGTGTATCGATACATTTGATCCATGTACAGTATCTCTAAGATAAACTACCAACTAAGGATAAAAATAGATGAAAACAAGTAAAATTTTACAAATAAATTTTACTCGTTTATTAAGTCAACAATAATGACAAAGTGTAGCCTATACATAACATTTTGAGTAAATGCCAGATGAAGATACTATGAATAGATTCATGAATTGCTCAGATCCTTGTAAAATAAATATTTTAACGAGAGAAATTAAAAATTTGACAGCATCCAATTAAATAAATATATAGGAAAGAATTATATTTTTCTATTTATTTTTATTATTATCATTCTTTTTATGAGAAAAAAATGTATAACAGAACTTTCTTACCAATCTAACATTTCCATTCAATAATTATTCCCACATAAATAGCATCAAGAAATTCTTATCTCTCAAGAACCAACTAGTTACCGTCTATAATTACCATCGACTGAAAGAGCAATTGAACCAACAGGATTCCATTTCACGCGTCAAAGTCCTTTCTCCGCGTTTCGATTTACTAACCGTTTCATCGCAGTTTAAGGGTTTCGAAACCGTGTGTTCTTGATTGAGACCTCAGAAGATTACATCGTTTTTCAGATCGATTCGGGTCAACCCCCTATTATAGATCGTGAACCGGTATCTCTATAGACATGAGTAATAGTATATACGACTTAGTCGTAATTACCTAGCGTTTGTAAACAGGCTACGAGATAAAAATAATATGGGACGATCGAAATTGTTGCTGCGCCTCTTATCTCACCCCATAAATCGTTTGATGGACCATAAATTCGAAGTAGTTAACATACGCCATGTGGCCTTTCGTAAATCGGCGTTAATTGTCGTGAATTTTTCGTGCAGATCGATTTTTTTCGAAGTGAAAATTTATGCACGACGATTAAAGTCGATATTTCAAACGTGACGATCGATGATTAATTCTTGTAATTTCTCTTCTCAACGAGTAAATTGCATCATAAAACTTATATAGTAATTTATTCTTTTTAAAATTCACCTCATTATCAGACAGTCATGGAGGAATTTATTTTTTTCGTGATCAATTAATGTAAAAGATGTTATTTTTTTTTAATATTTACTACTACTTTATGCTTCGTTAATTGTAATTATCAGATTGTAATTAACGTTATGAGAAGTAATAATTCATTTATTCAAAAGAATTGAATGATTATAATAAGAGGCACAAAGTAAAGATATAAATTGCATTCTAAGATGAAAATACAAAGAATGAATTTCCTCAATTTGTTATTCTTGAGAATTGATAAAAAATTTATGTTGTGTAAAATCCATCTTGATAATGTTATCACGATTTTTTTTATAATAAAGTAAATTGAAGATAAAGTAGGAATTTTTTTAAATAAGACTTCGTTTTTTCGAAAAAATTGATTGCGACATTAAAAATAAATATAACATGCAACAAGAATAAATATAATATCGATAAATAAGAATCAATAAATCGATAGGTACTTATATGTAATCCATAATAAACTAGTAACATGATACGATGATGTTAATAAAGTTCAATATTAACCATGTTTATAAACGTATGTAAGAACAGCAAGTGAGATGTGCCTACTTACATCAAGGTCTATTAAAGTTATTACTTAGAAGTGCACGTGTACTTAATCTATTTTTAACATCATTTCTCTTCAAAACACAAGTCTTTATTTTTTAAAATTTTATTACTTATATTGAGAATATTCTTTTATAGAAAATTACTTGTTACCCGATAATAACAGGAAATACGATTATCAAATTAAAATAAAATATACATATATTCTATTGTATTAAGAGATTAATGGAATAATATCTTGATTTACAAGACTTATATAAATTTCTGAAACGTGTGAATGATCGAAATCTCATGTTCTCCGATTTTCATTAGACAAAGTTTTTTATCGCATATTTTCTCGCTATTCTATCTTTGTTCGTAACATCTTTTGTTCTTCCTGTGTCATTGTAGGTGCACTTTCATTTCACTCGAATCTTGGTCGTGCAAAAATTTTGATCTCGAAAACTGTCTCATATTCTTCCCTCTCTCTTTCTTCCTTTTTTTTTTTTTTTTGCTTCTAAAACGGTATGTAGGCGTAGTATAATCTCGGCTCAAAATAGCAGCCGTTCCTCTTTTCGTTGCACACGGGGAAACAATAGAAATGCAAAGGTCTATCTGCGGCTCGATGTATAAAGGAGGTCGCTGATAGTTAGAGTGCACTTATCTATTGCCGTAAGGATATTCACCCGGAAGCACCTATCTATATTTATCAACGGCCATCCTTCAATTATTCTACCGTGTCACAGATGCAATTGACATGTATGGAAGGATAAGACGGCAATTCTCTCTTGTGCAATTACTTTTACACAAGAATTTGAAAATTTATGTCATTTAACGAAACTAATTACATTTAGAAAATAATTTTCTAAATATACGAGAAATAATGAAATAAAAATAGAATTTCTCTATCGTATTTATACACGATGGAAAATGGCGAAACGTTGAATTTATTTATCGGTTAATGAAACTAATGAGAAAATACGCGATGATGTCGTAATCGAAAGTTTGCTTTTTTTTATTTTTTTAACTATAATTGTTAAAAAATATTATATTCAACACGTTTCTCAGATATTCATAATGATGCATTAATATTAATTTATGCCTTCAATTATCGATTATTTTAACTTTAATATCAATTATATCATAAGTCGTTAACTTTTAATTAGAAGATTTACTTTAAAATATTAATTAATTATCATTGTGAAACATAACATGATATATCAAGATATCCATTGAAATTTTTAACAATTATAAATAATATTATTATGTAATATTCACAGCATAGAAGAATCATATAAGAAGTAATAGATAATAAGATGAAAATATATATTTATTCTCACGATTCTTCATTCATTTTCTGGTTCTACATAATGAGGACAAAATTGTTCCAACAGATGATTCTTCGAACAGCTCATTTAATAAAAAAAATTCTCACTTGCTTGAATTTTTATAAATGCAACTTCTACAATTTTGATGAAATATAACATTATAAATGGTAAAAACTTGTGATATCTGCATAAATAAACTATTACATGTGAAACAATTCAACAAGGAAGAAATAGTCACGAAATGGCATTATGAGCCAGCATGGCCCAAGCGATCGTTGCCAACGTTGCAAAATACCTGCACTGCAAATGGTGCAGTCAACGCAGTCTCATCTGGCGAAAAAGAAAAAAAAAAAAAAAAAAATAGTCGATTCGAATCCGAAGAAGAAAAATTGGTACTATTCTCAGTCATTCACCTAACGATACAAACCTGTGCGATTATGCAATTTTCCGGGGAGCTTTCTTTCTTTATAGCCTCGAATAACCGTCGCTATTTTCATCCTGTACTGTATCCACGATACGTAACTCTGCGGTAAACGCGCGCCCTTTCGTGACTTAGATCCGGCCAGCTATAAAGTTTCTAAAGAGTGTCGAGGCGAACACGTAGGTGGATATCTATAGACCAACCGCGATATATATAGAAGAATAATCATTTCGGGGTTAATATCCTTACGGTTGAACGTGTAATGTCGTCATAAAATATTAAAGCGATAAGAATGGAATGGAATCGATTCGTATGGAAGAAAAGTCAAGTTTCGAAAGGTTGATTGTTCGTAGACGCTTGTGATAGAACTTTAATATCGGAATTTATCGATCATCGATTTACATTTGATTTATTTCTCTCTCGATTAGATGCTCGAATAATTCTGTTTCTTTCAGATAGATGATCCGATCCACGTGATCTCCATCGAAGAACCATCTAGTGTATCCAGACAAAAACCACCAGATTACGAGGCGGTCACGGATGCGCCACCTAGCTACGATGATGCCATCAAGTTAAATCCTAGTCACCTATTTAGAAACAATAGTAGCACGTTGTCGTTGCCAACTGTGCACACCATGGTCCCTAGAACAGTGGAGATCGTTTCTAGGGACCCTACACCATCACCACCGCCGCCTTACGCGAGGTAAAATTTATTTTTATTCTTACGTTCATATCGATTTATTTTCACTCTTGAATGAAACGATCGATCGTTCTAACGTGGGTTAGAGAACGTATAAAAAGAATGGATGAATAATTTCGCTCGTAAATCGTTCGTGAGAAGTACTTAACTTGTACGTCTGTTGTTGAAAGATAGGGGTAAAATAAAGAAAGGAAATTCCTATATATGTGGGAGGGACTATGACGCGATTTCGCTACTCGACTTGTTCCGAGTAGTGTTACTAGTTATTCTATAAAACTTAATGACGTCATGACGAGTATACACAGAGTTAGTTAATAAATCTCTATCTAGCTTAACCTGTCTAGAGAATTTATTAATACTTTCTACTATTTAGAACCTTTTGCTCAAATAATTGACAAGAATTGACAAGTTTAGACAAGTGGAGTATTGTTAACGATTCCATGTCTTTTTTAAACTCTTTTCTATTAGATCTTTCTCTTTTATTTTTCTTTTAAATCAAAAGGGAAGCGAGTATTCATGAGGGCAAGAATAAAAATTAATTAATTGTAGTAATACAGGATTATCAATGAGATTGTTGTATAATAATTATCAATGTGTAATAATTCAAAACTTTTAAACTTCTCAATAAAAGAATTAAATCATTGTTCGATTTTTCCTTTTTTTTTGAATATTTTGTTCCATTCCAGGTGAGATATTTGGCAGCAGCAATAATGATCGCAGTTAAACGAAAGGCTTGCGGTGTGCTGGAGGTCCAGCGTATTGCAATACAAACTACAGATTGCCCGAGTACAAAAGTGGGTGCGAAGAACTCCGTCATTTGTTGTAACTGTCACGGTACCGTTAATGATAGGGGTTGCACTTGAAACAACCATTTACGGCGGATAATTATATCTCGTCGTAGCACTGGACCTTGTTTTAGTAGATTAAAGATTTGTGTTCAATGAATCAAGCAAGTCCTCCATACAGGGCACCGCATTTATCACTGTATCAACACAACGATACACGGTCGAAGGTAGAATCGAAGGTGGTGGAAGCATCAACTGATTTAACGATCACGATTTGATTGATGGACTCCAAATGGTGAAAAAGACGAAGATGGCAAATCGTCGAACGTTCGCAAGAAACTCGATGAACGAAAAAAACGGAAGAACGAAAAAAAAGAAGAGTCAATGGAGATGTGAACATTGTGCCTTCCTCAAAACGCCTATTATTACACAGAGAGAGAGAGAGAGAGAGAGAGAGAGAGAGAGAGAGAGAGAGAGAGAGAGAGAGAGAGAGAGAGTAAGTAGTAGTA